TGTGAATTCTGACTCCACTTCATTGTGGTTGAATCATCTTGTCAACTTCCTTGATGTGCCCTTGAGTTTCGGTTTGTTTGTCTCTAAATGTTGGATGATGAGATGCCAGAAAGTCGGGAGACTGAAGAGTAAAGAGGTGGAAATCCCTGCCTGGAGCCTGGTATTGGGGTCAGTTATGTCCTTGGGATGGACCTGGCTCCTGCCCTGTAGGCAGTGACCTCAGCAGCATGTCCAGTCTTTCACTGAGGCCAGTGTGTCTGTCTTTTCTCAGACTATGAAGAGTGCAAAGATCTCCTAAAATCTATGCTGAGGGATGAGCTTCAGTTGAAGGAGGAGAATCTTGCAGAGCAGCTCGGGCAAGCTGAAGAGCTCAGGTGAGGGGGCCCTATGCAGGCAGGTGGGCAGGTGTGTAAATCTCAGACGTATAGCAGCTCGGAGGGTAGAAGTAAGAGCCAAACTGGGCCAGGGGAAGGGCAGGAATTGCTATGGCATGCTCACAATACACACAGGTTTGTGAAACAGAGAACAGGGACACTAGTAAGTTATGGGTTGCAGTTGTTTCTCAGAGCCCCGTTTTCTCTTTTTGAAAGAAGTAATTGTTGAGGTGAAATTTGCATAAGACATGATGAACCAAAGGAGTGGGAACAACCCAGCAGCATTCAGTGTACTCAAAATGGTGTGCCATCACCACCCCAGTTACCCATAGTCAGAATCACCTCCTGACTGACTGCGGCATCTTATCTTTGACCCAATCAATGTTGCCTTCTGCAGTCTGTCATTCTTTTCTTGTTTAATCTTTTGAATTGGCCCCGTCTGCACTTGGCCGCATTTCTGTATATGGTTTTGTATGTAGTCACTGCAAGATAGACTATGTGTATTTTCACATGGAAATGTCCATTGCCAGAGTGAGGAGCTAAAAGGATGTCTTTTTGAAACTGAATAAGGAAGACACCTACTTTTGTTTAGAGAAGTGAAAGGTGAATGGAACATCGTCGAGGATCTTACAGGAGCCCTCTCTGGTATAGAGGAAGCCTGTAAACCATTTTTCCTTCTTTCTCTTGGCCACAGACATTTCTTTAAACGTGTGCTGACCTTCTCCTTGGAGGTCTCCTTGAGGACAGTGTCTCAGAAATCTCTGTCGCAATATTCGAACTGATCACTCACCCCTTTCCACTGTTCAATTTTCTCTACTATCTCACCTTAGGCAATATAAAGTCCTGGTTCAGTCTCAGGAACGAGAGCTGAGCCAGTTAAGGGAGAAGTTCCAGGAAGGGAGAAATGCGTCCCGCGCATTGAATCAGCATCTCCAGGCCCTCCTCACTCCGGATGAGCCGGCCAACTCCCAGGGGCGGGACCTCCGAGAACAGCTGGCCGAAGGCTGTAGGCTGGCACAGCACCTCATCCAAAAGCTCACCACAGGTAAGGTTTCCATAGGACCTGGAGACCCAAAACGCCAGGCTTATGAGAGACTCCCGACCTCCATACTTTCACAATGTTGTATCATTGGTATTTTTTTCCACTAAACATTTGTGGCTCTTCCAGGACTTCCTGTGTGATATCAGAGATGGGAAACCCATGGGTTTGGAGGTCACAGTATTGCAAATGTCCCTCCTTCCTTGGTGGAGATGGTCTTTGGAGCAAGAGGCAGCATCTCTCTAGTTGTAAAGGAGAGGAAGGAGGCTGTGACAGGAGGAAAAGAGTGAAAAGAGTGAAAAGAGCTTGTTAGAGTGAAAAGAGCTGTAGACTTAGAATGAAGGTTCCCAGGCTGTCTCTTTGGCAATGTGCTTAGTAACTGTCGGTGAGTGAGTAATTTATCCTTCTTGAGTTTCTCTGTGTCCATCGGAAAAGGCAGGCAAATTGTCTCTTGCAAGGGTCTGAAGCATCTAAATGTGGGAACACTTATGACTGCTTTTGAAAATGAGATAAAGCCCCTCGCCATGTGGTGTTGGAGAAGGCACTTGACGTGGGGGTATTTGGTTGTAGGAAGTGCTTCAGACTGGAGCACTCCCCATGGAGAGCGTGTCCCTGAATAACACAGCAGAAGCCACATGGAGGGCCTGTGAAGTCTCCTGAGGCATAGAGGACTGTCGGGCAAGTTTGTCCGCTCCAAAGGGAAAGAATTAGGTTCCAAATGTGAACTGTGCCACAACACCAAGTCTGTGCCTGGGAATCAGATCTGTGGCGGGATGCGAGAGACAGCTGCCAAAGTCCAGAGAGAGGCTGCACAAGTCCCCAGTGATATGCGGAGCAAAGGGTCTTTTCAATATTTGGTGACATCTTGATGGTGGCCCTCCTGATCAGAAATGCATTGCCTGATGGATCAGGAAAGCATGCCAGGGCATTTTATTAAAGATAAAACATGAGAGCTTTCAGTTTTAACGTGACCCATGCCTAGATGTCCATGTCTCTGTGCACATTGGACTGACTGTGCCTGCAGAGTATGAAGTGGGAAATATCTGGAATGAACACTTCTGTAATTTACAGAAAATGATGAAGATGAGGATGAAGATGTTAAAGTTGATGACACTGAGTAAGTACAGAATCATGTGCCCCAGGTAACACTGAATAATCAGGTGCAAGTAATGGGTTTTAATATATGAAAAAGGTCTAGGAGGCACACCCTGTTCTGCCATCTACAATGGGCCACAGCCTGCATTCCTTGGCCACAGTATGAGAATTCAACCCAGCTTAGACACAGGGTGTGGCAAGCTGTTGTGTTTCTCTGTGTGTGGTGAGTGTCATATCTGTACCGTACAGGGATAGCTGAGTCTTCATCCTTCTCAGCTCCTATCTATCAAGTGAAAGAACACCGGTTGGTCTCTTCTCTCGTTCTCCCATGCCGCCATGCTCTGTTGCAGAGAGAGGAGGATGCCTGTTCCCTCCTAAAGGGAACCTCCTGTTTGCTTTCTGTGACCACTGTCTTAATGCTTCCCGTCAAACCTGCTAGGTCTCCCTGGGGTCCAATCCCTCTGTATTTAATCATCTGGCATCTCTATCTCACCTCATCAGGGAGGTGCGGAAGGCAGAAGAAAGGAAGTCCCTGAGGCTCAGTGGAGGAATGTCCATCACTTGTTCAAATACTTATGGCCCTTCTGAGTCCAATCAGCCTCACAAGAACTCCAAGTCACATTTAAGGAAGACCAAATGGACTTGACTCTGCTTATAGACCGTCGAATCTCTCCTGATGTACGGCAGGATGCTCTAACCTTGTCGCAGGTAGCCTCTATTTTCCTTGTGTCTCATACGTCTATCTAGACTACGGAAGATCCATTGTGAGGACAGGCTATATACGTACATATTGGTTTACTCAGAACTAGGATGGAGCTAGGTGCGGTGACTCACACATATATTCGCAGCACTTTGGGAGGCCCAAGTGGGAGGATCATTTGAATTCAGGAGTTCAAGAGCAGGCTGGAGATATGGTGAACCCATCTTTACAATAATACAAAACTTAGCCAGGCATGTTCCTTTGCCCTTAGAGTCCCAACTGCTCAGGAGCTTAGGTGGAGGATTGGCTCAGATTGTCCTCCCCACCCTCATTCACTTTTCTCGAGCTAGACTCTCTTCTCCTTTCATTGGCTTGTCTTAGCTAATAATAGAAGTCTCTGGCCAGGGTTGCTGGGCTCACATTGTAATGCCAGCACTTTGGGAGGACAAGGTGGGGCGATCACCTGAGGTCAGGAGTTCGAAAGCAGCCTGGCCAACATGGCGAATTGCATCTCTACTAAAAATACAAAAAATAGCTGGCATGGTGGTGTTTGTGCCTGTAATCCCAGCTACTTGGGAGGCTGACGCATGAGAATCACTTGAACCCAGGAGTAGAGGTTGCAGTGAGCTGAGATCGTGCCACAGCCTGGGCGACACAGTGAGACTCCCTCTCAAACAAAACATAAAAAACCAAACCAACCAACCAATCAAACCAAAAATTAACGAACAAAAAACAATCTGTTGAGCTACACAGAAACATTGGCCACTCATGGGGTAAAAAGCTCAGAGCCCAGCCTTGCTTTATAGAAACTTCTAAGCAAGAAAAAAGTGGAAGTGTTGGTGTCCTGGTTTCAAGGTGACTGCGTAGCTCAGACAAGTTGACTTAAAGGAGATCAAGAGTGGAGATGAAAGAAGTGGAAACCAGGGAAACAGCATCTTCAAATCAGTGGACGAGGCTGTCAGTGACATCCCTCGGTTCTGATTCAACCTATTTGATTTCACCAGTCATTAACCCATCATGTGTTTGGATTTTTTCTCCCCAGTCCCTGGCTCCACCTCTTCTACCACAAACATCAGCATGGTGGTATCTGCGGGCCCTTGGCCCAATGAGAAGTCAGAGATGAATCCTCTAGAAATCAACGAGAAACTGCGCCCTCAGCAGGCAGAGAACAAACGTCAGTTCATAAACACCAAGGAGAAATATCTTGTAACTCAAGTGGCCTACTTTCTGGCCAAGGGGCAGAACAGTTACAGTAAGTTCCCTAAGCTCAGCATCACAAAAGTGATGATGTCCTGTCTTCTCTGTGAGAAACGGAATTCTCTCTCCATCAGAAGTAATGTAATCCTTTCCGTTCTTGTAGGAAAATAGAAATGGGTATTTTCACCTTTTGTTAAAGTTGGAAGAGAGAGGTACCAAAGTATTTCAAAACTTTCCATGTTTGCAGTTAGGTGGGCATGGGCCTATAGGTAAAATCTCAGTTATGGTTTCAGACACAGGAACAGAATGACCTGTTTTCTCCAAGAGGCTAAATCATGTTTTCAGGAATCCTCTCTGTACCATATAAGATCTGGCAGAGAAATAACATCTAGTCTGTTGTTCTAAATGTCTCGGGCTAGTGAACTTTTATTCAGTTCAAGCTTCTGTTGAGGCCCAATAGGCAAATCTCTGTTCTAGGGACCCTGAGGGAAATTTGGTGATAGTACACAGTACCCACTGTGAGGGGCGTCAAGAGGAGTCTGCTCGTAATAGAACCTGTGGTATATATAACCGACAGCATCAAGAGCAGGGAGTAGGGGCCGTGCAAGGTGGCTCAGTCCTGTAATCCCAGCACTTTGGGAGGCTGAGGCAGCTGGATGACGAGGTCAGGAGTTTGAGACCAGCCTGGGCAACATGGAGAAACCCCATCTCTACTAAAATTACAAAAATTAACGGGGCATGGTGGTGGGCACCTGTAATCCCAGCTACTTGGGAGGCTGAGGCAGGAGAATCCTTTGAACCCAGGGCAGAGGTTGCAGTGAGCCAAGATGACGCCATTTCACTCCAGCCTGGGCGACAGGAGAAGACTCCTCAAAGAATAAACAAAAATGCAGAGAGTACCCTGGTGTGAGGGAAGTCCTACTTCCTGGGGGAAGAGGCTTTTGTTCCTATAGAAGAAGAAAGATCACACCCGAGAATGTGTGGAAGTAGCAGTGCAGTGTGCAGAGCAGGAACCCTGGGCCTGTCACCTGGGCTCCATCCAAGTAGCTTGTCCTGTCAGTCCCTCAGTTTCTCTTTCTTCCTCTCTAAATTTTGGAGGTTGAGATGCCATAAAGTCGGGAGACTGAAGAGTAAAGTGGTGGAAATCCCTGCCTAGAGCCTGGTACTGGGGACAATTATATCCTTTGGATGGACCTGGCTCCTGCACTGTAGGCAGTGACCACCGCTGTGTGTCCAGCTTTTCACTGAGGCCGGTGTGTCTGTCTTTTCTCAGACTATGAAGAGTGCAAAGACCTCCTAAAATCTATGCTGCGGGATGAGCTTCAGTTGAAGGAGGAGAAGCTTGCAGAGCAGCTCAGGCAAGCTGAGGAGCTCAGGTGAGGGGGCCCTATGCAGGCAGGTGGGCAGGTGTGTAAATCTCTGATGTACAGCCACTCTTCTGAGTGAAGTAAGAGCTAACCTGGGTCTGGGGAAGGGCAGGAATTGCCATGGCAGGCTTACAACACACAAAGATTTATGAAACAGAGAACAAGGATAATAATAAGTTAAGGGTTGTAGTTGTTTCTCAGAGCCTTTATTTCTCTTTTTGAAAGAAGTAATTGTTGAGGTGAGATTTGCATAATACAAAATTAAGTAAAGGAGTGGAAACCACCCAGCAGCATTGAGTGTACTCAAAATGGTGCGCCATCACCACCCCACTTACCCTTAGTCAGAATCACCTCCTGACTGACTGCAGCTTCTCATCCTTTCGGTCAATCAGTGTTGCCTTCTGGAGCCTGTCATTCTTTCCTTCTTTCATCTTTTCAACTGGCCCGTCTGCACGTGGCCTCATTTCTGTCCATGGCTTTGCATGTAGAGACTGCGAGATGCACTATGTGTATTTTCACATGGAAATGTCCATGGCCAGAGTGAGGACCTGAAAGGATGAATGTCTTTTTGAAAGTGAATAAGGAAGACACCTACTTTTGTTTACAGAAGGGAAAGATGAATGGAACATCATTGAGGATCTTACAGGAGCACTCTCTGGTATAGAGGAAGCCTGTAAACCATTTTTCATTCTTACTCTTGGCCACAGACATTTCTTTAAACATGTGCTGACCTTCTCCTTGGAGGTCTCCTTGAGAACATCGTCTCAGAAATCTCTGTCGCAATATTCGATCTGATCACTCACTCCTTTCCACTGTTCAATTTTCTCTCCTATCTCACCTTAGGCAATATAAAGTCCTGGTTCAGTCTCAGGAACGAGAGCTGAGGCAGTTAAGGGAGAAGTTCCAGGAAGGGAGAGATGCCTCCCGCGCATTGAATCAGCATCTCCAGGCCCTCCTCACTCTGGATGAACCGGCCACCTCCCAGGGGCGGGACCTCCGAGAACAGCTGGCCGAAGGCTGTAGGCTGGCACAGCACCTCGTCCGAAAGCTCACCCCAGGTAAGGTTTTTATAGGATCTGATGATCAAAAACCCCAGGCTTAGGAGAGACTCCCCACCTACATACTTTCACGATGACAGTTGCATCGGTGGTGTTTTTTTTCCACTAAACATATGTGGTCCTTCCAGGACTTCCTGGGTGAGATCAGAGATGAGAAACCCATGGAGTTGGAGGTCACAGTATTGAAAATGTCCCTCCTTCCTTGGTGGAGATGGTCTTTGAAGCCAGAGGCAACATTTCTCTAGTTGTAGAGGAGAGGAAGGAGGCTGTGACAGGAGGGTTTTTGTTAGAGTGAAAAGAGCTGTGGACTTACAATGACGGTTCCCAGGCTGTCTCTTTGGCAATGTTCTTAGTAACTGTCGGTGAGTGAGTGATTTATCTTTCTTGAGTTTCTCTCTCTCCATCAGAAAAGGCAGGCTTATTGTCTCTTGCAAGGCTGTGAAGCATCTAAATGTGGGAACACTTACGACTGCTTTTGAAAATGAGATAAAGCCCCTCGGCATGTGGTGTTGGAGAAGGCACTTGATGTGGGGGTATTTGGTTGTAGGAGGTGCTTCAGACTGGAGCACTCCCCATGGAGAGCATGTCCCTGAATAACACAGCAGAAGCCACATGGAAGGCCTGTGAAGTCTCCTGATGCATAGACGACTGTGGGGCCAGTTGTCCTCTCCTAAGAGAAAGAATTAGGTTTGAAATGTGAACTGTGACAGGACACCAAGCCTGTGCCTGGAAATCAGATTTGTGGTGGGATGATGGAGACAGCTTCCAAAGTCCCGAGGGAGGCTGCACAAGTCCCCAGTGATATGCGGAGCAAAGGGTCTTTTCAATATTTGGCCACATCTTGATGGTGGCCCTCCAGATCAGAATGCATTGCCTGATGGATCAGGAAGCCATGCCAGGGCATTTTGTTAAAGATAAAAGATGAGAGCTTTCAATTGAACGGTGACCCATGCCTTGATGTCCATGTCTTTGTGCACATTGGGCTGACTGTGCCTGCAGAATGTGAAGTGGGAAATATCTGAATGAACACTTCTGTATTTACAGAAAACGGTGAAGATGAGGATGAAGATGTGAACATTGAGGAAACTGAGAAAGTACAGGAATCACGTGCCCCCAGGTAACACTGAATAATCAGGAGCAAGTAATGGGTTTTAACATAGGAAAAAGATCTAGGAGGCACACCCTGTCTGGCATCTAGGATGGGCCAAAAGCATTCGTTTGGCCACAGTATGTGAAATTCAACCCAGCTTAGACACAGGGTGTGGCAGCTGTTGTGTTTCTCTGTGTGTGGTGAGTGTCATATCTTCACTGAACAGGGATAGCTGAGTCTTCATCTTTCTCAGCTCCTATCTATCCAGTGAAATGAACACCGGTTGGTCTCTTCCTCTCTGTCTCCCATGGCCGCCATGCTCTGTTGCAGGGAGAAGAGGATGGCCTATTCCCTCTTAAAGGGAACCTCCTGTTTGCTTTCTGTGAGCACAGTCTTAATGCCTTCTGTCAAAACCAGCTAGGGCTCCCTGGGGTCCGATCCCTCTGTGTTCAATCTTCTGACATCTCTCTCCCACCTGGTCATCAGGGAGGTGCAGAAGGCTGAAGAGAAGGAAGAACGTGAGGACTCACTGGAGGAATATTCCATCACTTGTTCAAATAGCCACGGTCCTTGTGAGTCCAAGCAGCCTCACAGCAACACCAAAATCACATTTGAGGAAGACCAAGTCAACTCACGTCTCATTGACTCATCCTCTCATGATGAATGGGAGGATGCTGTATCCATTATCCCAGGTAGCCTCTATTTTCCTTGTGTCTCATTCCTCTTTCTGTGCTGAGGAAGTATAACCCCGAAGACAGACTCTATACACACAAATTGGTTTACATAAAAATCTGCGATGGGATTCTAAACCAGATATCAGGGAGGTTTTCTGTCCTTCTCAGCTCATGTCATGCCTTTGTCTCCCGGTCCCCAGTGTGAAGTTACTAGACCCCAGGCACGTGTGACAACCTCATAGTCACCTGAGTGCAGGAGGTGCATGGGAAGTAACTGTGAGGCTTCCTAGCTTCGATTCAGTATCTCTTGTCACCTGTGATTAAGTCATGTGTCCCTGAACAATGTCCATGGAGTTTCTATGCCTTTTGAAGGAGACTAGCAGCCTTGCCTTTGTATTTGGATATATTGCTCCCCAGGCTTCACTACTCTCAGCTTTAATCTTGATCTCTTTTAAGTCAGCTTGGTTAGCTGCACAGTCCCATTGAAATGTGGACGGAGACTTTTCTTGTTTAGTTTGCTGATACAGTTCCATAAAGCAAGGCTGGACCCTGGTTCTCCACCCCATCAATGCAATAGCTGATCTGATGTTTCTTTGTCGCATCATAGATTGTTATTGTTGGTGGCGGTGGTGGTTTTTTTTTGGCGATGAAATCTTGCTCACCCAGGGTGGAGTGCAGTGGCACCATCTTGGCTTGCTGCAACCTCCGCCTCCCAGATTGAAGTGATTCTCCTGCCTCAGCATCTTGCTTGGGAAGGAAGAAGGGGCGCTGTGGTTTTTAAAATTCTTCGCTTTTCTTCTTCGGTTTCCTCACCTTCTTTGGGTTTTCTCTCCCTTTGGTCTTTGATGCTGGTGC